ACTCATTTGCTAATTTTTATGTGAAGTATTTTAAATATATTTTATACATGTAAAAGCGTTGAAATAAAACAGAATGGAAAATGCCTATTTTTTTTCTTCATACAAACGTATGGAGTAAATCTCTGGAGGCTTACCTTGCGCTCTCATCAGGAATTTTGATCGGTACATTTTCCATTTCTATCCTTTCTGTCTCCAAGTAGCTGTGTCCTTCAAGGAACAAAGATATAATTCCTCTTTCCTTTAAGCTGTCTGTATTTTCTCCAGTTAATTTCTTCTTAGTGGAATTTCTTCATATCTCTCGGTTCTTGCAACTTCTGCCTTTTCCTATTTGTATAGTATCTGGTGTCTTTATCTTGCCTTGCACATTGCTTGAAGTACTGCAAAATAGCAGAGGACTGAATGGCTGAATTCTGATTGTGGTCACAGCTCTTACAAAAGAAAGGAGAGTAGGTGGAACTGGAAGTGAAATGGAATGGGAGGAGAGCCCAGAAACAAGCGAGATTCGTCTATCCTGCAGGCGTAATTGGAGCTGCCGCGTTAGCTGGTATCAGCATGTTTTGAATCTGGGTGGTCTCAGACACCGTCCTGTCAGCCTGAACTGCTGCACTAGAGTACATCTATAACCTGTTTTGGGCAATGTACTCAGCCCTTCCTCAGTGAAACTAAGTTGTTAATGAGTGAACAGAACCTGTTTCCTATGGACTTGTCTTCCTTCCAGTAGCACTCTGCAATTCTGTGTCTGAGCCGTCACAACCTTCGTGCGGCAGACCTGGGGACAGAGACACACTTGTCCATGTCTTTAAGTTTTCTATGCCTTGTCTTAGAGCAGTTTAATGCTGTCAGGAAACGGGAATTCAAAAGTGATATGTGCATGCAAAAACCAACCAATGAGTTAGGCAGATGAGGTCGATGAAGGTGATGCCTGTCTGCAGACTGCAGCGTCTTTGTCATGCCATAAAATGGGACTGCCTTTGGTCAAGCAATTTTGCATTTCAGAGTTTCAAAAGCATTTGAATCAACAAGTCCTTTTATTTTGGCTTTCTTCTGGAGTTCTTTGCACAGGACTTCAAATCCATTGTGGATTCTCTGCAGTCTTTGTAATGAGGCATTGAACCATCCACTACTAGGCATAAACAGTGGTTGTGCATTTTGCACATAGCCACTGACCTCAGCTCTTGGCCCAGAGCTGTCCACAGGTAAGCATTTTTGGGACATCCACCTTAGCTATCCAGATCACAAGTAGGACTTGTTGGTCACGGGGCATTTTGACAAAAACTGAACCTCAAAACAGAACAAAATGTTTTTTTGTCCTGGATGAACCTATAGATCCACTGGATGTGTGATATGCCAGAACTCTTGGGGGATACTTCATCTCATCGTGGTGACAGCAATACCATTTTTAAAGTGATAACTTACAAATCATATTATATTTCCTGAAGTAAGTTACTGAGTGTTGCATTATGCACTAAGTGTTTTCAGAAGTTTAGAAGACATTTGGGCTCATTGGTGATGTTTGCTTCCGTGTCACTTTAGAGATATTTGGAAGTTCATGTTGGCAGAAGTGACGAGTGAAACCGAAGATGATCCATTTGTTTAATTATCACCCATAGTGCTGCAGTATTAATTTCTAATACATTTAATAAGCAGCTTCATTCAGGGAGTAGGCTGTAAAAATTTGATCTAAAATGATCTAAAGAGTAAAATTTGCAGCAGGGGAACTGTGCTGGTGTATGTGCTCTGTCTTTGCGTCTTGTCGCTTTGCAGATACACAGTGTCAGAGACTCGTGTGCTTGCTCTTTCTGGAGCTGCTGTGCACGGACAGCAGGGGAGGAGGACAGAGGCTGAGCAAGGCAGTGTGATGAGTTGAACAGTTTCCTGCTCTCACTGTGCTGCTCAGTCTTAAGCAAGCGCCTTTCTCACAGCCAGCGTGGAAATAGCAAAGCATCAGATTGTACGCTAACGGTATCACCGGGTTTTATGCTAGCCGTGTTCGTTCTGTGGGTGGGGAAGCTAGCTCGTGAGTAGATGGAAATGCGGAGATGCGCTTGTCAGAGATAAAAACTTCTACGCGTAATTTACCTTCACTGAGAAACAAGGTATTTGCAAAACTGAGTGATCTGAAATGCATAGTGCGAAGTAATTGCACCTCTTGGTGGGGATTACGAAAACTGTTCAGTCCTAAGGCCTGCCAGGGGAGAACTCTGACTGAAGTGGGAGAGCTGGTAGTCCTGAGATAAGAGAAGTCTGTTCCAGAGATGTTCTCCTGGTGTTAGAGTCTTGGCCGTGCTGAAGAGTGTGCATTTTTTATGAGGGGGAGGAGGAAAAAGACTTGTTTATCCTGGAGGGAGATGTCACAGCAAGTACAGACTTCTGAGGTGCTTTTATCTGGGGCTGCAGGGTTTCTCAGGCATTCTTCTCTGCCTTTGCAGTGTCAAACATCCCTTGGAATAATCACCTGGCTCTGGAAGTTTTATAATTAATGAAGTTGGAGAGGGGTTTTTTGTGTCTTTGAACTCATGCCTTAGATAGCACTAAAGAATTTCTTAGACGTTTGCAGGGCTGAGCCAGATGTTTGTTTTCTGCTTGAAACAACAGTGTAGAAATGTATTTGCAGTACTTCTGTTTTTACCAGCCTAGCGTCTCGAAAGTGGGAAGCTGTTGCAGGCGCAGGCTGTCTTTAGTGTGTCACAGATGTTCTTTCGTGGGTGCAATGGTGCTTTAGGTCCCTCTTTGAGGGGTTAAAGGAGTCTATGCCTGCATACCTGTGAATAATTGCAAGTGCCTGGGTTTTGCAGTGTTCTGCAGTGGGAGGAGGAAATACTCTCTGAGATCTTGCTAGGTAGGGGGTGAGAGTGTATAAACTGTCTTCTCTAGTCCCTTGGGATAATTTTTTTTCCCCCCTGCCATCCTGAGATGGAAATAGAACATGTGGGTTAGAGAGAGACCTCGTGAAAGGGAGTCTTTGAGATGAGGAGCAAGGACCACGAACACACTGATGTCACTCTGTGGAGAGGCTTTACTGTGGCTGCCTCCTCATTGTGCCTGTTGTAAGCAAATACGTGTAAGCAAACATCAAGTACTTGGTTGCAGGAAGGTTGTGTGTAGTTCAGTATTCTTGACCCTGTTATGTGGAAAGAGTAGTTTTCTTCAGTTCCTGAGCTTCCTAGGATGCCTCCTTACCCTGCCATTGTAAGAATTGATGAATTTGACTGGATGAGCTTGACCTGTAAAATGAAAGCTGCTGACATGTGTCCTCCTTGATCTGAAAAATGGATTCTAAGAAAAAAGAATCCTTCTGCTAGGCACCGAAACAAACCAAGGCTGTCTGCGCTTACAGATGAGGCTTGCTTTAGCCTTCAAGATCCAAACGATCAAAAATCCCTGAGCCCTTTTTACATCTGCATCTGTGCTGTTTGGTATGTATTGCTGTCCAGGGAGCAGATGCCTGCTGGGCTACACGGCTAGTTAGTGTTCCTGCAGGGAGGAGCTGCTGCTGCCAGTTTTGAGGGCAAAGACACTTAGCTGTTTGGGAGAGGACTTAAAACCTACTTTTATGTCATATGTGGAGTCTACTTGTCTCCAAGTACAAAAGAATCCCAAAGCATTGCCGTACTCCCGGTGTACTAGAATAAGCTTTGTTAGCTTACACGTCTTTATACCTGTGTCTGCAGTAGCCTCTGTCCTCACTGAGAGGCTCCAGGTACCCTGTGCACTCACTTGACTTGTTTAAGAAGGGGGCTCAACCCTGGTTGCTGGCGTAGAGGGAGTGATGGGGGAAGCTGGAGGCAGTGAGCCTGCGGATGGGCAGCCCTTTGCTATCTCCTGTAACTTGTCACCCAGTGGCTGAGGAGAAGGGGAATGTAGGAATAACTCATGTATTTTGTGTGGAGAGGACAGCAGCTTTGTGATGAGGAATTCGTATTGTTTCATCAATGAAACAGAATGCAAAAACATAATAGGTTTATTTTAAATTCAAGCTCAAACATAATATCTCTTGGGTCATGTTAACACTTAACGGACGTCGGAATCGGTGCAAAAATGTGCCTTGATCTTATGACATGTATTTGTGGTGAGATTCACTAGAAGACCGCCTTCGCCTTGCGCATGTAGAGATTTTCCAAGAGTATGGCACCAAACAGATCTTTACATGATAATAATGTCAGTCAGCCTGCTATTCCACATAATCCCTTAAGATTTTTAGTTGCAGTATAGCATAGACAAGTTGGAGTATGGAGTGATTTTTGAGAACTTTATTCTCCATTTTACTGTAGGTTTAGTTATGGAAACACCTATATACTTGAGATATGATTACACTGTTAATATTGCAGAAAACGTGTTTACAATTCAAATACTCTAATATAAAAAGGTAAAAATTATTTTGTTTATTTAAGAGTAAGTGTAAAAAGTAATTTTGCAGTATCACTTAAATTTGTAAGACAATGAAGTGCACAAGAAAACTTCATGTTGTATCTTCTTCCTAACACTTCTCTCTCCTGGGATGTATTTTGCAACTTGACTACAGATATACAGAAACTCAGCTTAAATATCCTGAAGTTCCTTGTGTCTGATATTGCTGCTCAAAACCAGGGTGTGCTTTCTTCATCCTGCCCTGCAAGTAGGTGGATTCTTCTTGGAGTAGCCATTGTAAGACTTTTCTTATGGTCCATAACTTGGAAACCAGCAGTCACTGCTGGCCCAGAATGACCTGTGGCCAGACTGTCAGTTGTTTTCTTCAAAATGTTTGTCTGGATACTATTACTGAAACATAGGTGAGGGTTTTATTTAATTTCTTCCGCTGCTGCTCCCTTATTAACAGGATTTTCTGCTTCTTTGAACTTCTTTGAGCCCATAGTCTTGCAAAAACCTGCAAGTGTTGTCCTGCATTTATTGAAAGAACAGATTTCATCAAGAGAATGAGCCATCTCCTAAAGCTGTATTTGTTTTGGGCATGTTGAAAAGGTTGGTTCATGCAGGTGAGTAAAAGAACAAGGAGGAGGGTGTTACTGGGTCTCAACTTCGTATTTCAGGACGTGTGAGTAAAAGCTGTGGTTAGCGTTCTCGTGCACCATCACAAACACCTCTCTGCATCCTGAAGTGTTGCAGGTTCCCTCCCAGTACCCTCTGTTCTGGGTGAGAGGGTAAGTGTTCTCCGCTTGAACTAGCACCTTTGCTATCCCGTGCATTTTGAGTTTAAAGTGAACGTTGCGATTCGCTGGTAGCAAGCCAGAGAGCGGCTCCAGTATTTCGTAGTCTTCCACCCACTTGGTGTAACTCTGAGGGAAAGCTGGCCACTTCGCTTCAGTGTTCAGGCAAGTGATGAGGTAGTTGAAGATGTAGTCGTAATTGCCAGGATCTGACTTCTTCTTGGCATAGATTTTCAGCACAAAGTTCCCTGCGTGGGGCAGATGGATCTTCAACTCAATTTGATTCCCGCGATGGATTTGCATGATGTGCCGCCTTCTCATGTCCTCTGTCAGGCTGCTGTTATCAGAGTGCAGCGAGGCTAAGACACTTATGTCTTTGCCCAGGGTGAAGGTGACTGAACACCGCCCGTCGTTGGTGTGGATGATGGGGCTGGGCTGTGACGGCCGCAGGAACCCTTGCCGCTCTGTGAACCAGCTTGGTCCGACAGGCTGATGCAAGTCCTTTGGGAAACACATGGCCTTGTCCACAGACTTGCACTCCACGACGTATTCTAACACGCATTTGTAGACATCTTCTGAGGCTTTGGAGGGCTTGGCGAAGATCTGCAGCTTGTGACTCCCTGTCTTCTGTGGGTAGATATCTAGCTTCATTCCATGTTTTTTCAAAGTCATTAAACCATGTTCATCTGTTCCCTTCAGCTTAAACGTAAATAATGTGGCAGAACGGCAATCCACTGATACAGAGGCTTTTCCATTTACTATGAAATACAAAAGAAAAGAAACTGCATGGAATTTCAGTACATTTTTTGCATGTACGCCCTGTTCTGGGGAGACTCATTTGTCCTGATAAATTGCTTCTTCTCTAATAGTAAGATAAAGAGCTGCAGTTGACAGGTCATAGCTTGTCAGCTGTCTGCTTAGGCCAGTGTCCTTCAAAAAGAATGAAGAGCGGCCTTTGTTTTGGAGATGTGCATTTATCCTATTTTGATATACACTGAAATGGGACTGTGGTTCTATAGAAGATGAAAGCCTGTATGAAATATAACTGAAAGTACTGTCAGCCTGTGTGTTTGAGAAGGACTTAATTAGATACGATTAGACCTGATTGCTAGTCCAGTGACTGTTCTAAGAAGCTTCAGAGAAAAGTGCAGGAACTCTCCAGCATATGGATATGAGATAATCTACCTCCCTATGAGCCTATTCCCAAACCGCTTGACCGCATTAAGTCGTAATATGTTGTTGCCTTTAAATATTTAACTCTGTGTTCTTAGCATTCATAAATTAGCTAGTTAAATTCCTGCAGCTCTTTTGAAATCTGAAGAAGGTGATCTTAAAGGTGGGCCTAGTTGTTCAGTGGTATTAACTGAACAGTTGTATGTTAAAAGAGCTGCTGGACTTACTCAGTGTGCACAGTATTAAATAAAGAAGTGCCTGTTTAAACATCATTCAATAACTCAAACTTTTGGAACATCATAAGAGGTTTTAATCTCATTTTCCAGCCAGAGTTGCAAATATATAATAGCAATACTTCTCATTTTGCACCACTGATGCTGGCTGATCTTCATCTGTTCACTGAAGCTTTCATTTAGACCCAGGGGCTGCTACAATTTTTCACAGCTTGAACATAAAGAAAAATCAAAAAAGGGAAGAAAAAAAGACCCTCCTCTGCCCCAGGAGCTTTGAGTACGCTCTGCTTGCCAGAACCAAGCTGGCAGTGTAATTCACTACACACATGGCAGTGTGTGGTGGCTGCGGGGCTGCATAAGGTAAGATGCTTTGCAGTTTCCCCTCCGCAGGGTGTTACCTGTTTGGATGACAGCTGTCTCCGGGTGTGCAGTCAGCAGGCCCAACATGTAAAAATTACTGTTGTGCAGCATGTTGTTCTCAAACTCCTTCAGCGTCAGCGTTGGTTTAAGAAGCTGCCAGTTACTGTTATCTGGGAAGTGATTGTTAATGAACAGGGCTGGGTGAGTCAGAAAGTAAAACTCATTGTACCTGCAAGAAGAAGGAAGAGGTTAAAGGAAAATGAGTAATTTTAAATAGTTCATTCTTTCCCTGCACAGTGGTGGTGATTTGAGCAGGAGGAAATCGGAGTGTTTTGGGCTGCTGAGAAACTGAGGTCTGTGGATTTGAGACTCTCCAGGCAGAGAAGGAACCTGAGTTTTGGTCTTCCAATTCCAGGACATATGCTTAGTTTTTGGATAAACCCAGGGTATTTGCACTATCCCCTGCCACCATGGGCTCCTGAAGAAAGAGGGAGGCACTGCTTGTTGTTTGAAGGCGTGGAGGCACCCTCTCTAAGGCAGCTGAAAGCTATGAATCAAGTGCCATGTAATGTTGCATAAAATGAAGTGATAAGCAAAACAAGCTCACTTTCAGCAGTTACGCAGCTTGCGGCTCAGGGCCACTGGCTTTCTACAGATATGTGCTCCATCCCTTGGATAGGCAGCATAGACGTGTTGCTCAGGGCTGTGGGTCTTGCTGTGGGGTTTAAAATCTGTCACTGTCTGGTGAGCTAAGCCCATCAGCTTTATTTCTGCCTTTGTGTTAGGTTTATGTATTAACATAGTGGATGGTTCTTTACCTGAAGGTGAACTTGGTGAAAGAATCATCAACAGCACCACTTCCCCAGGTGCTATCGAGTAAATGCCACCTTCCATCAAGGTAGACAGCGTTCCAGGCATGGTCGGAGTCCCCCGTAAAGGTCTGTCCCATCTTGTACCCATACCCCTTAGAGTATCCCAGGAGCTTCATGCACTGGATTCCTGCAATACTAAAAGGAAACAATAAGATGCAGCAGGAGGCTTCTATTTTAAACCTGTCAGTGTACTTTTGTAGAAGGACAAAAGGAGGAGCAAAGTCTGCAAAACTTCAAGCCTACAGTCAAGTGGACTAGCTCCGTCAGCTCCTCGGGTGCCTTCTTGCAACAGAATGCCAGGGGAGTTTGGGGTGCGTGCAAGAGTACTTCTCTTTGAAAACTCCAACTTCTGACCCTGGTGACAGACTGCTGTGCTAAATGCCTAGATTTCTGCACTTTTTAATTCTTTGGGAAGATTCCAGTTAGCTGTGGCACTGTTTTATGCTTGACGGGGGGATCTCTGTGCAGCTTTCCTTTAACTGCCTTCCCATACCATCCTGTCAGCACATCTAGGGAGAGGCAAGTTCTCCCCTTTGACCATTGACAACACTCTCTTTTTCTGGGTTATGCTAGTGAAAGGCTTCATATGGAGTGGACACGTGAGAGAAACTGAAGGTAACGAGGCCCGAGATGTTGAGTAGGGACCATTTTTTCTTGTAGCTTTTGCATAGGGACTTGGAGAGAGCATCCCACTGGAGGAAGGGGCTTTTCTCTTCCAGTTTTTGCATATTTCCTCTCTTTTTGTGTGATGCATCATCAATTCAGCATTGTTAGAGGAGCATGACAAAGACGAAGTGCGCTTAATTGCTCTCTGTCTTGTTACTCAGTGGAATCCCTTTGATGCTGTCCACAATTAGCGCATGTAATTATAAATTAAAAGTGCGTCTGTTCATGCTTGCGTTCCCTCTGTGATGGCAGACCTCGTGTTTGACACCGGCTAAGATATCTTAGACCTCACGGGATTGTGCATGATGATTTAAGTTCCCTTAAAGAATGAGCTTGTACTTGCCCAGGGTACAAATGATTAAATAGTCTGGTTTTTAAAAAAATAACAAATAACCTGTGTTGATGTGTAAATAAGATTGAAATAAGCACTGTGTTAACGAGCTCTCTACTGTTGATAGCAACAGAACCTAACATTGGCATCTTATTTCAGTATTAATCTAAAATTGGTTCACTTGGAGGATTGTAGGATGGTATTGACATTTTTCTTCGTTGAAAAGTATGTTAACTGGAACAACTACCTTAAGTAATAAACTGTGCGTGCTCTAGTGTGGGTTTAACTCAGAAGAAAAGTGATATTTATGGGAAAGATAGTCAGCATGGTTGTTAAGAAGTTAAGGTCTGATAACAGATACTGGCTGGTAATTAGCAGTGCAGCAGTGCTTATAGGAAGGACTGCTTTTTTCAGCGAGATGATGCTGGTTTAAAGGAAAGGTGGTCACTTCAGCTTCTCATAGAGACTTACTAAACTCAAACCTGGATGTCTTTGTGCTAGCTATTTGATACGCTTTAAGAGTATCAAATGGAATTCCTACATTCTTTCTTAAATTCTTTAAGGAAGAGTGTCAAAAATAGGATCACAACTGCAAAGGGGTGATTGAGAGCCAGCTCACATTGGGTAGCCTGCAGAGAGAAGACAAGAGTTATACGGAGAGGAGAAACGTGGTGGTACTCCATCCCTGCTGAAGGTGGCCAGCAAAGAAGAAGGAGCATGGAAAGCGGTTCGTTTAGCGTGGGCTGTTAGGCAGCAGTAGCAAGGCGCTGCCGGTCACATGAGGTATTTGTGGCAAGCCTGGAAGAAACGCCATCGAGAAACCTGTTGTCGCAGGTGGTCTGTAAAGTCCTTGCCAGCCCACAGTCGACTGTGAGCCAAATTCTAACATGAAGCTGGGCAGTAAATCTGGAGCAACTCCATTGACAAGACTGGTGAGAGCTTGGCTTTACATGATGTAACTGAGACTAGGAGCTGGCCTGGGAACTTTAAGGAAGATTTGACCCTGGGAGTTTCAAAGCGGCCTAACAGGAGCTAAGTACCAAATGCCCACTAATTTCATGGGGATTGGAGTCTAATCCTTCTAGGCTTCACTAGACATTCTTGTTAGCTGGGATATTCCGAGAGAACACTAAGGGACAAGTTCTGCCCTTTATTTTCTCTGTACTCTCACTTACAGTGAACATTAGCAAAATAGCAAGAAGTGTTTGTGCTTGGATGTGTTCAAAGTTTCCAAAAGAGAGGTCAGAGCATTTAAACAGTGTTCTCTCTTAATAATGGATAGACAAAAATACAGGCTATTGGTAAAAGGAGTGATCCTGTCTCTGTTCTTGTGTAAATGACTTCATACAGATAAATTAACCAGTTGAGAAGATCTCCAGGAATGCTGCTTGAAGGGTCAGTGTGATGGTAGAAGATGACCTAGATACAAGGTGGACTGGAACAACTGAATTAAGAAACAGTTGGCAACATCTGCTTGGTGCAGCAAGGAGGTTAGAAGCTAAGTTGCTTTTCTGTTTAAAAAATGAGTAGGAAGTATTCTGGATCTTGCTACAGGTGTTAGCGTAATTCAATGACACCCTCTTCCCTTTGATTTCAGGTTTTACTTCAATTTCGTCTAAAAAAGGAGCAAATCTGGCTTCTCCAGAGGGAGACAGAATGGTTTATACTTGTAGGTGGGTATACACTCGCGTGCCTCAAAAGAAAGCAAGCTACTGACTGTAGAGATCAGGAGAGGCAAGAGGATGTGAAAGCTGGTTATTTGCAGAATAATTATGAATAAGGAGCAGCTAAGTGGTTAGATTCACTGTAGGGAGCGTGGTCAGCTTTGCTCTCAAAAGTGGTGCTGAAACCTCTTGTTAATTCTTGTCAATGCGTTTCTCCCTAAATCCAGACAGCAAGGTTTTGCCTTGAATTGAATTTATGAATTTACACTTCTTGATTCACTTGGACATGCTACCTCCTTGAGTTTACTTGTTAGCTAAGAAGCCAATTCATGATAAATGCTGCTAAAATATTAGTCAGAAGCCTGTGTTTCCGTTCGTCGCTGTTGTGCCTGGTGATTGGAAACGGATGTTTTGTGGACAGCTTCCTACTGTCCGTGCCCACCTTTCCTCTGTGACAGGAGTCTCAGCTAATGGGAAGGCAACCGGCCGCCAAAGCTGTAGTCGGAGGTGACTGTTATGTCTGCAATAGTAACTCTTCTCTCTGCTGGCATTGGGACAAGTGGGACTCAATCAGTGTCAGCCATTGACTTCAGCAGAAGACTCCAGGCGACTGGCAAATTGGGTTGGTTGTTAAAGTTGCCTCAACAGGAGCTAGGAAAAAAAGGCATGATAAAATACCTTTTTTTCCCACCCTGCAAAATTTGGCTCTGAGAAACCTTTACGTAAGATGACTGCTTTTTGCCTCTTGCCTTTTATGCTTGGACTCAGCATAAGACTTGAACAGTGCACAAGAAGGGATGAGGAGATCCCATTGTAAGAAAGGGGTGTTATCTTTGGTTATAGTTTTTCAGAAAAGGAGGTAAACATTTAGATAATATTTTTTTGGGAAAGGAGCTAAACATTTAGCTAATATTTGGCAAAAGTATTAGGCTGGGTGACTGGGAGGTTTCCGGAATCACAAAATGAATAATCAACCTGGAACTGAGGAATTAAGAGTAAATCAACGGAACCTTTAAACAGTAAAAATATATCCTTGCAAGGATTAATGTTTTTAATGAACTAAACATACGCTTTTTAATGAACAGGTGCAAATTTCCTCCACTTCTAATTGCTAATAACTCTTCCATAAGATGCAATTATAAATTCATACTTCATCATCTTATTTCTTTAGTTTACTCTTTAGAAAGCAAGATCCAGTATCAAGGGATATGTTATTGGTTGGAAACATTCACCGTTTTAGCATCTGGCACAGTATTTTATTTTTTTTTTTAAATCTGTCCTTTTCCCTGTAGATTTGTTTGTTTCATAGTGAAAACCTTCCCAAATCATTTTAGATGGTGTGGAAAGCCAATTGTTATTCCCATATGCCAATTAATAACTGGATTTTTTTGTTGTTGGGTTTTTTTTTTTCCAAAGCTGCCTTGTAAATGGAAGCTTCTTTGCTGAGAAGGTGCTCCCTGGGAGAGCCACCTTGCAAACTCTTAGGAAGTGCTTTCTGACATTGGGAAGCCCCTTACAGTCTTGTGCCCCTGAGTCCTCAGGTCCAGTTTTGTCCTTTTGGGCAACTCTGCTACACGAGGCTGGTCCCAAACTTGCCAGGCACCTTCATTGCCTTCACTACTCCTTTACACACGCAGCTGTGGGAGGGCAGATGCTGCTCATGCTGTGGTGCTTCAGAGTTGCCTTGTGCAAAGGCCATCTCCTTTCTTTACCGAGTTGGAGAAATGTGAGGGAGAAGGGATTTGCACTGCGCTCGTATGCAAAGTGCCCGAGCTCCCTGCCAGGGAAGGGGCTGCCTCTTCTATAAAATGGTTTTGTGATTGTAAAGCCCTTCTTTGTGGAGGAAATCTCACTCATTTCTGCAACTAATGCCCAGTGATGTCAATGAGGTTTTGTAGGCAGGAGAATGAATTTTAGTTATAAAATGGAAATTGTAGTGTTGGCCTCAATGGTGATGCACGTTGAGATTGACCATGGTAAGTGTGAGGCAGTGGAGGGTAGAGAGTATCTCCAGAAGGTTTTGGGAAAGCTCCTTTTGGGACTGTGCTTCCCTGTTGCACGGGAGCATGTTGGAGACAACACTCCTCCTTGTTTAAGTCTTGCCATGCTTTTAACCTTCACACACAGATACTCAAAGGAAAAAACCTAGCTGCTTCTAACCAAATTAGCTCCGTGTTTTCATCTGCCATTATGTTAATGCAATGCGAAGCTCAGCAGATGGCACAAAGTAAATTATGCTGGGGACGGTGGGGGTGGAGCGGGTGGAGGAGGAAGCAAAATTGACCTTTCTAGGACTTGCTGTTTTTCCACAGCATGGTTTGAAAGCTAAAGTTCCACATCCTGCTTAAAGTCACATCAGTCAATGCAAAGGCAGACAGAATAGGCACAGAGATGACAGTGAATGTTAACTCTCCCTGGCATTGAATGTTTCTGAACTTAATTTACCTGCACATTTGTTCAAAGAGCCCAGCGTATCCCTCGCAAATGCTCTTCCCGGTCTGAAGCACATCTATGGGTTTGCTCGACAGCTGGCTTTTGTTATGGTAGCCCACTACGTCGTATTCTGCGGGAAGGAACGCAGACAAAAGTTCATCCAAAAGCCTGAGGCAACACGATCGACGGGCAGCAGGAGCAAAGCTTGGATTGCTTTTCGTCTCTGTGAGCACGAGCAAAGAGAAACGAGCCGTGGCGCGTGCTGCACAAGGATGTTGTGGATGGCTGGTGGGGAGAGAGGGACGAGGTCTATCTCTCATCACTGTTTCTTCTAAGCCTGGGCTGGGATTCAGTGGTTGAATCCAGATGGGAGGAAAACTGTGCCCTTTTTAGAGAAAGTGGGCCCTTCCCAGGGGCTGCACTAGTGCAAGGGGTTCTACAAGCTCAGGAGCTCATAGTAAAAAATAGAGAGTTCTGCATTTGAAGGAGTTAGACTCGTGTTACTGTCAAAGAAAAAATACTGAATTTTTTGTACTCTTCCCGAGCAATTTGTATTAAAAATACCTGAAAAGTAGCTTGTTGGGAAATACCTGACATGATTTGTTCCAAGTGAGTTACGTTAATACCTGGAAGAGTAGGAAATCTTAATTTCTCTGAATGAATGCACAGAAGCGTTCCTTCAGACAGAGCTTGAGGAACTGGTCTGGGAAGGTTAATTCAATACCAACCAACCTTGGTCATGTCCATAACCTCTTTCTTAAAATACAAATATATTTTTCTGGCAAAGCTGAAAGGAATGCTGCATCAGCTGATTCATCCTCCCTTTAATGCTGTGGAAGAGGAAAAAGAGCTGGCAATGCACTGTACTTGTGCTTTGATGAAATGCTGCAACCGCTTGTCTTTTATCCAAGGGGCTCAGCTGACGGCTGCCTCGGGCTGGCTCGTGGGCCGGGAGGGAGAGGCTGGCTTTCTCAGCCTGGGATGTTCACTGAGCCACCATCAAAGCTGCAGAGCACTTTGAGGAGCATGGAGAGCTGGCTGGCTGCACATGACTGTATTTGTGCTAGAAACAATAACTAAAATAATCTCTTTTAGTGCTCCTGCTGCACGGAGGTAGCAGTTTGTTGCAGGCAGGGAGCTGAATTGGGTGGGAAGAGATATCCAGGAGCAGCCTTCTCGCTTAAAATCCAAACAAGGAAGGAGTTTATATTGTCAGTGCTCTTCCAGGATAGATACACTGCATTTTCGTGAGCTGTTTTAAATTCCTAGCACTGTATTTATTTCCCATGCATGTAAATAGGGGTCAATCCCTGCAGGAAGAAAGAAGAACTGGGGCCAAGATCATGTAAAAATAAATCTTGCGAAGATCACAGTATACCTGTTGGGGATCGGAGACATCCTGTGAATGCATGCAAGGTCAGCGGACCAACTCAAACCAGACCGACTGTCCCAAGCAGGATCTGGCCCAGGCAGGGACAGGCAGAAATGAGTTAATGGCATAAAGACTGAACGACTGGCAGCTGACAGGAGTTCAGCGCTCGGTTTCAGGAAATGCAGTGAAATCAGCAGTCTGCATATTTAAGATTAAAGCTGCTTGGGACTGACCTAACCATGCAGTTGCTGGCAAAGCTCTGCTGATCTCAGTGGGCATGAGATCAGGCCATTGCTTCCCAAATTGCTCCTCTGCTCTCCATCAGCTGGCCTGTTCTGCCAGCGAACTGCACCACACCAGAGCCCGTCAGGATGCGTAGGAAAACAAGGAAAGAAAAGCATAGCTGTGTTTCTCTCCCTCCGGCCCCAAGAGTTAATGGGAAAGAAATGTTTTTGTGTAAGCTTTGTGAAACGCAGTCATGTTGCACATCCCATTTCCCCAAGGAGCTTGGGGTGGCAAGAAGCCTTTTGCTCCCTCTGATGTGTCAGACTGGAGAGGCAACAAATGCTGCCTCCTCCTCCTTCCTTGTCCTCCTCGTATCTCTTGTTATTTCTGAAACTCTAGAGTTGCTGGGGTTGGCGTTGGTTAGGAAGGGGCAGGGGAAACCGAGTGATTGCAGCTCTCAAGAAGGTTGAAAGGTTGCACATACAGGCAGGAACAACAATCACGCTGGTGCCCGCACGTTTTGTGAAGGCTGGCCTCCCTGATGTGCTGTGCTGACATGGCTGATGGATGTGTGCTGCCCAAAGAGGGAGCAACAGAAGCAGCTGTGATGACACTGAGCTGGGCAAGGCAGCTTGATGGTTCCTGGTGGTGTATCCACACTATGCTGAGACCCTCCTGGAGCAAAGGCATCAGCATGTGGAGTGCGCTGGGAAGGGCTGCGGGGGGGTTGCGGGGACTCAGGACAGTGGTGGAGATGAAAGTTCTTGTGGTGTTGGATGGTTCTGAATGTGACAACCAAGCTTCTGGTGCTTGGCAGCCTGGCTTCCTGCTCTGGCTGCTTAGGTGATAGGGACTTGGATGGTTATACCTTCGAGTAAGTTGGGTAGGAGTTACAAGTTCATCATGTAGAAAGAAACCATTTACACACAAACCTTGTAGGGCTGGCAGCGTGAGGGGAGGGATTATGGGAACAGAGATGGTGAGATAACCTCTGAATACATTTCTGGATAAATACATCCAGGAAGTCTTCTTCCCACCCTCCATGTGAAACTGACCCATGAGATAGTGAGCGTAAGGTGAGTGACAGCAACAGCCTTATCTTCTCAACTGAAGATCTCAACCTACCTATGTGATGGCATATCCACATCCATATGGCTCGGACCTTTTCCAGATCAGTCCGGGCTTGTTTAAGCAGGGCTTTAACGAGTTCCTCTACACTGTTCTTGACGTTAACCTGTTTGTGAGGAGGAAGCATTGCAATATTGTGATGAAGAAATAGCTGCGGTAGATCTTCTTTCCTCCCTGCTCCCTTCTTCTAAAGCTGGTGAGACCCTACCTACCAGCAGACTGCGCTAACTTAATTAAAAGTGGAAATAAAAAACTTACTGTGACCAAGTATTTTTGGTCATAGTTTCCTTCTGAAATTGGGATCTTTATTGCTGATGTTTGTAGGG